TTTCTTTCTTTCTTTCTTTCTTTCTTTCTTTCTTTCTTTCTCTCCTTTCCTTCCTTCCTTCCTTCCCTGGGGAAGAGGCCTTCTTCTTACCTACCTGCAGGGGACTCTGCTGCCGGAGGGGGCCTGCGCTTTGCCGGCCTGGCGAGGGCCTCCTCCTCTTCCGCCTCCGCCTCCTCCTGGCGCCGCCGCCATCCACCGAGGCTCCATCCCTGCCGGCGGCCGGAGTGCCTGGCCTGGCCTGGCCCGCTGGCTCCCTCCCGGCAGCCCTTATAGCAGGGGAGGGGCTTGGGCCAGCGGAGCCCATTGGAGAAGGCCAGCCGGACACACCCGGCGCACTCACAGGCTGGCGAATGGAGCGGCGGGGATTCGAACCCAGCTCTCCGCCCAGAGAAAGAAAAGGACTACGGGACTTGCCTTCTTCCGAAAGTGGCTCGCTTTTGGGGGCGGAGAGAGAGAAGGCAACAACTTTTACTTGCCTTCTCCTCCCCCTGGTACACAAAGAGCCTTCTTGAGCAATTTCCACTCAGCCCAGGGTCCTCCTTTTCCAGGACGTGTCCTCCATCTCAGCCTCCTGCCCAGGAGGAATTTCAAAGCTTCCTCCATTTTGAGCATGCATTTACATTTATAGGTGTTTTTAGCCCAGGGTGACCAGATGTCCTCCTTTTCCAGGACGTGTCCTCCATCTCAGCCTTCTGCCCAGGAGGAATTTCAAAGCTTCCTCCATTTTGAGCAGGGCCAAGAAGCATGGGTTGATAGTTATAGGAGTGCTTTTAGCTTTTATTTTAGAATGTCCTACCTGTTTTCTTGCAGGTCCTCCATCTTGTGGTCCCTCCTCCTCCTTGGTGGTTAGGACATTGTGACCAGAAGCCCTCCTTTTCCAGGACCTGTCCTCTATTTCCACTTTCTCTCCAGGAGGAATATCAGAAGGTCCTCCATTTTGAGCAGGGTTATGAAGCATGAATTTACATTTCTAGGAGTGTTTTTAGCCCAAGGCAACAACAGGTCCTCCTTTTTCAGGACAGACCCTTCATTTCACCCTTCTGTCCAGGAGGAATTTCAAAGAGTCCTCCATTTTGAGCCAGACTAAGAAGTACAACTTTACATTTATAGGAATGTTTTTAACCCAGGGTGACCAGACGTCCTCCTTCTTCAGGACAGGTCCTCCATTTCAACTTTCTGACAAGAGGCATTTCAAAAGGCCCTCCATTTTGAGCAGGGCTAAGAAGCATGGCTTTACATTTATAAGTGTTTTTAGCCCAGGGTGACCCAGAAGTCCTCCTTTTCCAGGGCAGGTCCTCCATTTCAGCTTTCTGTCCAGGAGGATTTTTCAAAAGGTCCTCCATTTTGAGCAGGGCTAAGAAGTATGAATTTGCATTGCTAGGAGTGTTTTGAGCTTTCGTCTTGGACATCCTCCATTTTTCTGGAACTTCCAACATTGTCCTCCTTTGTGGTTGGGACATCTGGTCACCCCAGTGCTTTTACTCTCCTTTTCCTCCAGTGAGTCCTCTTCTCCTTTACTCTCCCAACAACCCTGCCAGGTAGGACAGGCTGGGAGAAAGCAACAAGTTCACCACACTAGATATTAATAGGCAAGAAAGTGGGCAGGTATAAGAGTGTAGCCCTCATGCCCACCTTTGGCTCAGCAGAATAATAAATGGTTATGTTTTAAAAGTTAAAACAAAGTGCTTTTTAATTGCTGGTAAGAAGGAGGTGTTAGATCTCTGCCTTGTTGCAACACTTAGCATAAACATTTACTATAAGGCGAAGGCAATGCTTTGGGTGTGTTGCTGTGTTCCTTCAAGTCATCTTCCGACTTATGGCAACTCTAAGGCAAACAAACCTAGCATGGGGTTTCCTTGGCAAGATTTGTTCAGAGGAGGTTTGCCATTGCCTTCCCCTGAGGCTGAGAGAGTGTGACTTGCCCAAGGTCACCCAGTGGGATTTAGGACTGAGCTGGGACTCGAACCCTGGCCTCCAGAGTCAAAAATTAAAACCCAAATCACTGCGCCACGCTAGCTCAGAATACCTATCATACTCAAATAAAAGATGCAGAACAGTCCCAAATATGTTGACTTATAGGGCCTTTGCAGACTGCCAGAAATAGTGCAAATTGAGTCCACTTTAAGGGTTAGGGTTAGGGAATCATGGGAACTGTATTTTATTGTGGCACCAGAGCTCTCTGACAGAGAAGGCTCAATGTCTCAGAAAAAAATTCCCATGATTCCCTAGCACTAACCCTAACCCTAAAAGTGGACTCAATTTGCACTATTTCTGGCAGTCTGCAAAGGCCCTCAGAAGTAAATTCCTCGACACTAAGGCTGAAATATTAAACAACAATAACAATATTAAACATTATTATTGTTTTTTTAAAAAAACGTTTATTTTTTAAAAATATATATTATAAGTAAACAACGATGTACAAAGCATATCACAACTATGAAGTAATATAAAACAATGCAAAATAAAACACACTTTGGAACTGTGTTGTGAGACTCCTTCCTGGGTTCTGTTCAATATAGGTGGCCATTTTAAAGAACAATATTATTGTTTTAATGTGTTTTAAACATTTGTATCTTTTTAAACTATTTGATATTTTAACATGTAATTTGTTTTAATTATTGCAGCAATGTAATTCTGTTTTAATATACTATTTTTGTATGCTTTTAATTGTACTGGTTTTTTAATGTTGTAAGCTGCCCTGAGTCCCAGTCTTGGGAGAAGAGCCATATATATATATATATATATATATATATATATATATATATATATATATATATATATATATATATATATATATATATATATATATACACACATACATATATATAACCGTATTTTCCGGCGTATAAGACGACCCACGTATAAGACGACCCCCCCCATTTTCCCAGTCAAAATATAGAGTTTTAGCACCTCTATCCTCATTATCCTTATATCCGGCATATAAGACGACCCCCCCACTTTAGCCACAGATTTTGCAGGTAAAAAAGTAGTCTTATATGCAGGAAAATAAGGTATATATAAAACAACAACAATACGCCCAGAGAAAGAATCCCACTGAGGAGAGTTCAAGCTGCAAGGCCTTATATCTGCAGGAACAAGCATAGAAATATAAGTGTAAATTTCAGAATTGTTGTGGGATTCCTGCCCCTCCATTCCCTGTGTCCGCACTGCAGAAATAATCCACTTTGACACCACTTTAACTACATGACTCAATGCTATGGAAATTCTGAGAACTGTAGTTAGGTTGTGGCACCAGAGCTCCACTCTGGTGCCACAACCAACTCCAATTCCCAGAATTTCCCTTTTTATATCTTTGTAGAATATCATATTGAAGATTGTATTTATATTTAATATTATAGAGAGAGTCTTGACTTCCCTAGTCCTGTTGTCTCCTCTTGAGATCTTGCAATCTGGTGCTTAAAAAGTGCTTGGAACCGGTGTTAAGGCAGAAGCCAGCATGTGAGGGCTTTGGACCCTTTAAAGAAGAGTGACCATTTTTAATAAACAAATATTGGCAAATGGAAGGAGGGAGCCCTGGATTATAATGGAAATTGTAATTTGACAGGCAAGAGAACAGGGCAGTCTTGTGCCTCAGTTCCTTTAAAGACTGATTCAAATCAAGCCCGTCTTAAAGCTGCCACTAGACTACAGACTAGAAAGTTGGGCCAAAGCTAACAAAATGAAATTCAACACGGAGAAATGTAAGGTACTGCACTTAGGGCGGAAAAACGAAAAGTACAGATATACCATAGGGGACTTCAGTAGAAGTATAGTGTCTAGATCAAGACACTCTATTCTGCTTTGGTCCGGCCTCACCTGGAATACTGTGTCCA